GAGTGTTTTTAGACTTTTGATATTTCCTTAGTTTTATAAAGGTTTTGTGGATATTTTGACCAAATGTTGAGAAGATTGATACACGAAATCAATTTGAAGTAGCAACAGGCCAAAGTCGCTAACTCATAACTCTCGACTCAAACGAGGCTTCAATTTCGATAAATGGAAAAAACAAATATTTTTGAGACTGTTTATATTTCCTTAGTTTCATAAATTCTTTGGTGATATTTTGACCAAATTTCATGAAGATTGATACAGGGAATCAATTTGAAGTATCAACAGGCCCAAGTCGCTAACTCGCAACTCTCGACTCAACCGAGGCTTCAATTTGGATAAATCGATAAAAAAGATACTTTTCAAGAGTTTTTTTAGACTTTTGATATTTCCTTAGTATCATAAATTGTTTTGGGATATTTTGACCAAATTTCATGCAGATTGATACAGGGAATCAATTTGAAGTATCAACAGGCCAAAGTCGCTAACTCGCAACTCTCGACTCAACCGAGGCTTCAATTTAAACTTTTGATATTTCCGTAGTTTTATAAAGGTTTTGTTGATATTTTGACCAAATGTTGAGAAGATTGATACACGAAATCAATTTGAAGTATCAACAGGCCCAAGTCGCTAACTTGCAACTCTCGACTCAACCGAGGCTTCATTTTGGATAAATCGAAAAAACAAATATATTTTTAGACTTTTGATATTTCCTTAGTTTTATAAAGGTTTTGTGGATATTTTGACCAAAGTTTACGAAGATTGATAGACAGAAATCAATTTGAATTAGCAACAGGCTAAAGTCGCTAACTCACAACTCTCGACTCAACCGAGGCTTCAATTTCGATAAATAGAAAAAACAAATGTTTTTGAGACTGTTGATATTTCCTTAGTTTTATAAAGGTTTTGTCGATATTTTGACCAAATTTTAAGAACATTGGTACACGAAATCAATTTGAAGTAGCAACAGGCCAACGTCGCTAACTCGCAACACTCCACTCAACCGAGGCTTCAATTTCGATAAATCGAAATAAAATTTCTGTATGTTGGCCTGTTGAGTCGATTGGAAAAGGAATTAGGCTCGTAGGACACGTAGTTTTTGAGAAAAACCCAAAAAATTCGAAAATTTCGATAAATCGAATAAAAGATCTTTTCAAATGTTTTTTTAGACTTTTGATATTTCCTTAGTTTTATAAAGGTTTTGTGGATATTTTGACCAAATTTTTACAAGATTGATACACGAAATCAAGTTGAAGTAGTGACAGGCCAAAGTCGCTAACAGGCAACTCTTCGAATCAAATCTCGATAAATCGAAAAAACAAATATTTTTTAGACTTTCGTTATTTCGTTAGTTTTTTTAATGGTACTCGAAACTCTCGACTCAATCGGTCAAATTCGAAAAATCGGAAAAAACATACTTTTCAAATGTTTTTTTAGACTTTTGATATATCCTTAGTTTTATAAAGTTTTTATAGATATTTTCATTAAATTTTAACAAGGTTTATTCAAGAAATCAAGTTGATCTAGTCGACAGGCTACATTCGCTAACTCGCAACTCTCGACTCAACCGGGGGTCCAAATTCGAAAAATTGGAAAAAACATACTTTTCAGATGTTTTTTTAGACTTTTGATATTTCCTTATTTTTATAAAGTTTTTCTAGATATTTTGACCAAATTTTAACATGATTGAAGATGACCAATCGAAAGCTTAACAAAATTTACTATCGATTGAGCGGCGCCGTAGCTCCAGGACGGTTTCCGGCTCCACAACGCAATTTGAAGTTTTATGAAAAAATCCAAAAATTAAAATGTTCCCGAATTTTTGAATTTACTGATGAATGACTAATAGAGCAAGAAAAACATTTAAAAAGCTATCTTGTTTAGCGTAACATTTTTTTAAATCTCGCGCAGATTTGTGACTTAAAAGGCTGAGATGCATTTCCAAATTTGGTCATTTTTTCGTATTTTTTTTCGATGGGATACAGAATATTTTTCCATCGTCCTTCTAACACTACTCAGTCACGCTAATAAATACATTCACGATCGATAAACACAAAACGTGATACAGCCCTGTTTCCTCCAAAAATCGTAACAGCGTATCCAATACCCGTTGCCGTTCTCAAGCACAATTCTTATACCGGGTGGTATTGGCTCGCTCTCTATATGGACCCAAGGAATTGCACCCTGAGCTTTGGCCCAAAAGTAAGAGTCCGGTGTCAACCTTGCATGGCCTCCAGGATGATCCCTCGTCTATGATTCAATTCCTCCGAGGATATTTCCTTCGTTAATTAACCATTTTATATGAAATATAGGCGGTTATACGGACGGTATTGTCGCCGAAGAAATGGGGAGATTTTTGATTGTTATAATTTTCGATTGAATTTATATATACATACCGTTTCATTTTGCCAACAATCAATGAGCTTTGACTAACAATCGGCCCCAAATGTCTGTCATTTAATTATCATATCACTATTTAAGTTAATAAACTCATATTTCAAAACTTCCTCAACTTGAAGAAATTCCAAACAATAGTGAAACTCTTTTTCTACTTTTTCACCAAATTCGCCGATGTAGAAAAAGTGAAAGGGAAGTACAAATGAGAAATGTACAACTCGTCTACAATGCATGTACGTTTAATTAGACAGAAACATAGCTTGTCTGTCTCGGTGTATAAACAATACGCGCTAATTTCCTTTGAAGATTTACCAGTTGCCTGTTTTCCATCTGAAAAAATAAATTTATTATAAACACTCATTCCGGCAAAACCAAATACCATCTGTTATCACAGCACGACTAATATCAATCATGTGAAATTATCTGGTTCAAGTTCTTGTATCGGCACTCAAAATACCAAATTTAGGCCCTGCTAAATGCTCAAAAAAGGAGAAACGCTTGAAAAAAGAAGTATTGGCAAACTGAGGACACCGTTCAGCGCCCCTGAAAACTATGAACCTCCAGACTCGCGTACCACGCGCCTTAGGGATTTTTTATCGCCGAGCGAAACACGTGAGGTAAATTCGCAATGGTTGTGACCCTCGTATATTGGTATTTTAGGTGTTTCTTTACAAGTCACGTTATATATACGTTTCGAAAAAAAAATTACCTCTTGATTTTCAATACATGATGTTTTTGTAGAATAAGTTGTCTTTATGTATTACCTATTTATTTTTCTACAAGTAGAAAAAAGAAATTTAATTCCAGATTGACCATCGATTCCTTAAAATTCACAGACATTCCCGAATGTAATCTGTACATTTTACACACAGACTGATACATGATGTTCAAGTTTTTGCAGCATAATTCAAAACAATTTCATAATGTACAATTGTTACTATTCAGGCAGATTGTGCAGTATGCAAATGAAAAATAGGCTCGGTTAAACTTAATTCAAATTGGAATAATTTTTTAAACTTTTTGGGTCCTTCGCTAGTTTCCATTGTCATTACCTGTTTGCTTCATAATGCGGCGGATACGAGAAAATTTTAGAGCCAAAGCCCACGTGTATGCCCGGCATGAATAGAAAGGTTACTCTATGTGCCCCATTCCTTGGCTCCATATAGAGAGCGAGTAGGAAAGCCACCTGATACGATAATTGTACTCAAGTTGTAAGATTCTTGGAAGAAACATTTCTGCATCGGCGATAGATGTTTTCTGTGTTAACTGTTTCGTCAGAATGTGTGGGAAATATGAGAATAAGTGTGAGTGTATTGCAAGAACGTTTATGGCAGAATATCAAATAGCCCATCAAATTAAATTAGGCTAAATAGAGTATGTTTAGTTGTTTATGAAATATTCGATTGGACACTTGGAAAAGTGATGGAGGAGAGTCAAGTAATCCATTACCTTCAATGGATGGTATATAAATAAGAAAAAAATTTATGCAGAACTGATCTTTATAAATCTGTTATAGACAAATACAATTAAAAGATGCTTTTCTAGCACTAATTTGATATACATAAAACTGAATTATTGAATTACTCCAGAAGCAGAACAATATTCACTTTTAAGATTGATCTTGATGAGATCTTGATGGATGGTGTTGTGGTTTATTATAATTTCAATCCCTATTCCTTTTTTAACTACTTTGGGCCGTTCTTCAGCATTTTTCATCTGAAAAACCTTTTAGCTGATGAAATTTAAAGTACTTGATGTTTTTATCTGTTTGTCTTTACCAGAATTTTGATCAGATTGATTTATTCTGTTTACTTGTGATGTTTGTGTCGGTGTGTGATGGGAATCAATTGATGGTTGTTGGCATAAAGAAAACGACTTCATATCCTGGCCGATGTTTCAATTTAATTTTAAATCTTTTTGAAGGCTGTCACTTGATATCTAAGTGTCCTCTTTTTTTTATGTTTTATTTATTGTTACTAATTGGCATATGTTCCATGTTATTTTTCTACTCCCTCAGTTGCCACCACAAGGGGAACTCCGGCATCCAACGGAGCATGGTAGCAACCAATGGAATAGAAAAATAACATGGAACATATGCCATATCTTTAAAAAAATGTTTTTACATTTATCATGAAAAAGCCTTTAGTTCAAAACTCTTTTGTTAATCTGTTTATTATCAAATATTTTTAATTTAAAAAAATAAATCAGATAAAGCTTTGCAACATACTATTATGGTGATATCCTCCAAAAAATAAACAGTATAAATTTCACAGGAAAAGTTTCATTTCTGCTGATGTACCATAACTTTTGATTTACAGGTTGTTCACAGGGAAAGTCGAGCATATATAAAAGGTTCGTTTAAAGTATTCATGCTTTTTTATTGATTACTTTTTTGCCTAAATTTGAGTAATTAATGATTTCTAATACAACTAATTTTAAAAATTAATTGACCTCAGAATCAACATATGTAGTAACCAAAGAAAATTGAAATTTATTTCACCTAATAACATTTTTTGTTTTCTATTCAGAACAAGATTATGAAGAAAATAAGGTCTTAAATGTAAGGAATTTAATGATTGTGTTTAATTTATGTGCAAGTAAATTTTTATATCTTAAATTTCAGGATTCATATCCGGAGGAAAGTGACTCAGCCAATGGTAAAAAAAATGAAACAAAGTATTGAAGCTTTTGTCCTATAATATTAGTTTTACAGATGGAGATAGCATGGACCATTTGTTAACCGACGATGAGGTAAATAGAATAAAGGATTAATGTTTTATTCAAGTATCAATTGCATATTGATGTTCATTTTATTGCTATTTATTTATAATATTTTGTAAAAAAAGTAAAAGTTTGTTTGATCTTGTATTGATTTGTTTTCTGGAATGCTGTAATATTAAAAACATTCCAGGAATGAATACATGATTATTGTTTTATATAGCATTATTTACTTAACAATTGCTTAAATTTCAATTATTTTATCCTGAATAAGTTACCATGAGATTTCTCCATTTGGTCTGCCTATCGTTGGGTTGGTCCTTCTGACACATTTCAGAAACACAACATTTCACAAGGCAGGAAGATAGGCAGAACAAAATTATTGTTAAGGACCAAATATAATAAGCTATTGTCACTTACGCTTCATTTCTTAAATAATATATACAATTTATAAATGCAATGACTTATTAACATTTACTTTTCAGTTAAGTGTTGGCTGTATCGTTGCACCTCCAGGTAAATGTTTAAATAAATTTTGCTTAGTTCAATGTAATTATTTTGCTTGAATAAAATTAACTTCTAATGTCCATTATTCTTCTAATAAATGATTGTTTATTTTTTAGAAATTACACCTGCTCCATCCTCCGACTACATTCCGTCAGTACCGAAATTAACCAGTAGACCTCTTCAACTGGAAAAAGAACCAAAACTACCAGTAATTGTTCACGGGGTAAACTGAATTTTAATTAGTTGTAATTTTAGTGTGGGTGTTGAGGAAATTGTGGTGATTTATGCAATGACAGTTATGTCTTTAATATAATGAACTATAGATATCGTGTAACTATTGTACATTACATTTTGTATCATCAAATCACACACATTTATTTCAATAAATAAACTAAGGTTGTATGAAACACCAGATTGACTCTCTGATCATCTCTTAGCACTCACATTTGAAAATTTAAAAAAACGACATTGAAATGAATTGAAGGTATCACTAACAAAACATTGAGTTTTAATTATTGCTGTCAAAAGAAGTCTCATTTAATGAAAAATCACATTGAAGTTTAAATGGAAAAATGAAAATAGGTGTGCAAAAAATGTTTAACAAAAGTAATTAAACTTTTAATTAATCTAAAACCCTTATTTCTATCAAGCAGGTTATCAGTTGAAAATTCGTGGGCAAACTAATTTTTTTTAAGACTGCATATTTAAACCTAAAAGGTTGCTCATAAATAGTAGAATTTAATTTAAAATAAAGAAATATTCTTTATTCTTCTTTAGACAATGAGAAATATGATTTGCTTTATTTCAAATATCTTAATTAATTCACGAAATTTATTGCTGTTGTGAAATCATATATACATCATTTGATTATATCATAAAAATCATGTATGTTTCATACAAAAAGAAATGTAAATTAACAATTAAAATTGATGCTATAGGTACCCTAAAGGAAAAGAGTATTTTAGAGCTACATGCCTCAATTTTGATAAATGATGAACAAAAAACATTAGACTTGGGAGACTGATAGATCTTTAGTTTAATTGTGGAGTATGCTTAATTATTCTTGTTAAAAAATTAACAAAATTATTTGACTGGAGAATTTAGTTGCTTGAAGGGTCATAATTCTGGTGGTAGCTGAGTGTAGCAGACGCTCTGCTTATTGATTCTGCAGCTGTGTGTACAATTCCCACAGTCATCCCTGGAATTATGGAATTATTTTACCCCTCCCCCTCTCGCTAAAATCCTTAATTGTGTTTTGCATTTTTTTAAATTAAACTCTTCTTTCAAACTTAGAGGAAATTTATGAGCCTATTTAGCTCAAGAAACATTTTAACATAAATGTGGTTTTAGGTTGAAGCAATTCAGTTGTTCAATTTACAATTTAAAGTTTTGTGTTTATCTTATTTCCTTCTCTGCTAAAACATATTATTAATAAAGGCATCATAGAGGTAGAATATAATTATGTCGCATTACGGAATTATTGCAAAATCTGCTGGCTCCAGTTCATTATTGGAAATAATTTGTTTTACAAAAATTAAAAATATTTTTTAAATTATAAAAAATAAAGAAAAAATGATGCTAATTACTTGATCCTTCAAGATGCAAATAAACTGTGTTGCTGTTGCAGAGAACGAGAGGAAATGTACGTGTTGAATTAGGTAAGTAATATGTACAATTAGTTTATGAATTACAAAATGCAAACCATTAAATTTAAAAGACTAATTATTACTGAACTAATATTTACAGAAATCATACACAAATTGTGATTGTTATATAAAGTTTTTTCCTTAAATTTTCTATTTTAAAACATACCACATTTACACAAATTACAAATAATAAATTTTCTAAAACTATTGATTTATATGACTTGTACCCTATAATATAAAACACAAATATGTAAAATGAAAAAGCTGTTTAATTTTTATGCATTCAAGAAAAACAGATCAAATAAAGTGAATTAAAAGGTAATGATTTGTGATTTTCTTTCATTAAAATCAAATTGAAAATACTTCACTCCCACATATTCTTTCTTTCATGGAAAAATATTATGTTGTGGGCATGTAACCACCAGTCCTTAACTCAAACCTTAACACAAGCTCATAGCTAACCATGCCTAATCTCCAAATCCCAAAATAAATTACCAAATACCATGCAAACCCCCAGTAACATAGGGTTAGGGACCCGACCTAACCTAACACGAACTTAACATAACCTAACATTAACTTACCTAAACCAAGAACACTTCCCAATAATGTGAAGACAATAACATGAAATTGTAAACACAAAAAAACTGTATCAGTCCGAAAACACATCCATATTAAGATAAATGTGAAAAAGTAAAACTGGCTATAATAAATAGTTATAACAATAAACTGATGTTGAAGATCATTCCAATGTTTTCAATTAATCTAGCGGTTTTAATTTTACATTTAAGTTATTTCATTTTGTTTTGATTTCTAAATTATTGAAAATAGGCTTTAAAGTTGACCAAAAAGACATAATCATACCTTAATTTAGAGAAAATTGTTTTGTGTAACTAAACAATAATAATCATTTTTGGTTACAGATCAAATAAAAAAGAAGTATAACAAGAAGCTGGACCTAGCAACTTATAATGCCGAAAAGAAGCATAAAGAACACAAAAAAGAAATGAAGGGATGGTCATATCTCCTATCATTTCTTCCATTTTTCAAACTAGAAGATATACAATGTTCATCAAGTTCTCTATACAAAGAGGCTGAATCTGAATCATCAGAATGCTTGGAAGTATTCAATGCTCAGAATTTTAAAATCGTACCATCGAGTAAAATATTCCATAAAAAAGTAAGCGGTATTGATAGTGAGGCTGAAGATGAACCTATGTACTTAGATGAATGGAGCCCATTGGATGAGTCCAAATCAAAGGAGGATTCTGATAAAATGTTTCTGATGAGTGTACTGCCACTTGTAAAGCAGTTGAAACCAAAGGACAACCTTGAATTCCGTTTGGAAGTGCAGAAATTAATCAAATCTAAACTATTTCCAGCGTCCCAAACAGATATAGTGCAAATCAGTAAATCAAAAATTAGCACAAGGCCTCCTTCAAGACAGCCTGATTCTCATCGTGATGCATCGCATAATTCGCAAACTACTTCTCATCACAACCAGTCACATCGGTCATATCACAAAGGAGAGCTAAAGCCAAAAGGGTCAAAGTCTACACACACAAAAGAACACAGACATTTTAATGATACTGCTATTTAAACATTGTTTCCTATTATTATGACGTATGGATAATTATCTCGTTTTTATTATTTTTAATGGTGGACAAATTGTAATTATATAGTTATAGGAAGCAGTGCTTAATTTTTTAAAAGCTAATAATATAGAATGTTAACAATACAACATGTTTGTTATTCAAATTAATTGGGAAACTGCAGTTGTGCAAATTGCCATGATTTTTAAATTAAAAATTGAAGAATGTTTTTATAATTATGATGTATTATTTGTTTTTATTATCTCCTATGTATGTTATTATTGAAAATTTTCCTTAAAAATGACAGGTGATGGTGCCAGTTTAATGATTGATAGTTGTGTATGAAGTCGTCTTTAAAAGAATATTAATTTTTGTTTGAATATTCAACGGAATAACTTTTGTAATTAGTCAGGGATTTTCAGCATTCTTCACACACAAATTTGAAGCAATAGATAAACTTTAAAAAAATTGAAAGTTGTGAAGTAAGAAAATAGTAGAGAGAAAAACATCATTAATAAAAGATAAAATTATAATTTACTATTAAAAAACTGAATAACATCAAATTATTATATATTAATTACAAAAAATAACCAGGGCAACAAATAAATAGCAAAAAATAACAAACTTTTTTCATTTATTTTTTCAAAAACAAATGTTGGTGAATTAGAGGAAAGTGTCTCATTGAAACAAAACATCCCTTCTCATTTAAGGGAAAAGTATTTGAAGTCACTAAAAATTGTTTTCATATGTGATTTACTCAATGATAAAAAAAAAAAAATCAGTAGTGAACATTTATTATTTAAATGAAGACAAACTGCTCGAATATAAAAATTTAATCAATATTTATATTTTGTGTTGAAAGTTTCCTGATAATTGTCTAACTTTTTTTTAAAATAAAGAACGTTTTTAATCAAATTGTGGCTAGGCAATAGATACATCAATATATGAACAAAAATTTAACCAATTAATAAGTTAATTTTTTTAAAGAGTTATACAATAGATATGACTTTTATAAATCAAAATTTTTATGACAAATCATGATACTTTTATAGATTATAGTTTAACAAAAACATGACAGTTTAACTTAATTTATGTTTTATTGTTTTCAGACATTGAGCTACCCATTCTGTCCACTGTTTCAGTCAATACCTGCTGTTTATAGAAAGCTAGGTACAGTGTATGACAACAATGGGCGAGTAAGTTGACAAATGTAACATGTACATTAAGCAAGCAAAATAAATGACATGCTTTGTTCTTGTTCTAGCTCATTTCATCAGATATCCAAGGTAATAAAAAAAGTTATTAATAAATTTAAAACAAGTTTTGTCAATTAAAATCAGCCCAATTGTTCCAAATGGAATAACATCAAATTGATACTGCAGGACCCGAGTTATGGGAGTACGAAGTCAAGTGCAAAAACAAGTAGGAAGTCGAGTGCGAAAACAAGTACGAAGACAAACAGTAATTCTTCCCTGCCAAAAATTGTGGAAGAATTAAGTGATCATTTAACCGATTCAAGCAATGAGAATTTTCTAGAAGGGCCTACAGTTTCGAGTATGGTAGAATTTGATTAAGTTCTATATTTATTAAAAATGTAAATGCTACATTTTTTTCAGTTGAAGATGTAACACCGCCCACACATGATGTTTTTACGCTGAATAAAGTCATCCAAAATAATTGGGATTTTGAGAAAATTAAGGCAAGTTTTCATATGTATTTCATTATATGTCTTTATCTGTTAAGATGTTAGTTCATTGAATCTTTATTCAAACATTAATAATTATAATAACATAAATAAAACCAAAATTATGTTATAAGCTGCTTAATGTTAAATTCTACTTTAAACTTCATATTACGCTTATTCTTTCCATTAAAAAACTTTTGACATTTTCCATCTCATAATGGCTTAAAATACGATTTTATAAACATTAAAAATTTAATTTGTTTTTATTTTAGATGATTACCTCCAACATACTTTTTGCTTGTGCAATTTTGATCTATTTCCTTCGAAATTTCTGCAACTGGGAAGTATTGAGTTAAAGGTTCTACTGAAAACGATTTGATAAAAAGTGAAAATGTGAACTGCCATACAAGAATTAAAAACAAAAACGTAAAATTGTCAATAATTTTATTATTTTACTCAGTTAAACAAATTATTTATTAATAAAAAAATGGTCAATTTAATTAACAATCTTAAATTACAAAACTCATCTGACCAGGGTGATAGGGTAAATTAATCTAAAAGCTGTAGGAAACTGGTCACATACAGAAAACTCAAATCTAAACTCAATGAAAACAATTTTAAATCTTTTTAAAAAATGGATATGAAATTATCAAGTACAATAGACACATTCATCAAGCACCAATTCCAATTGTACTATACATCAAGGACAAGAAACAAACTTGCAATTTACAGCTTTAACAACTTACCTAAGGCAATAAATTAATAATAATATATTATGTACATTTACATTGCAATTAAAATAAAATTTTTACAACATGATGTTCCAATGAGAAAGAGGGTTTTTTTTTATTGATGCTCAATTTTGAACTTGGAAAAAACGTGAACTAAATATTATCTTAATAAATACTGTAGAAAATAATATTAAATTATGAATTAATTTGTATGTCTTTTTTATTAATTATTTACTAAAAATTAATAATTCAATAGATTAATAGCTGTACATAAATATAATAATATAAAATTAAATTGAGCAATGAGTATGTGTGAGTGGGGCATGGAGGAATATTGAGTACTCCACAGACCTACTAAACTAGGTTAAGATTTTTTTGTGAGTGTTTTGTGTCTTGAATGAATGTACTTATCAGCCATGAGTGTTGAGTGTGTGGGGGGGTGGGGGGGTCGTGGCGGAATATGATTACCCCACGGACCCAGTAAACTAGGTTAGCTTTAGGTTAGGTGTTTTTAAAGAGAAAGGGGAGAGCCGTGGGCATAATATTAGTGGCTCCCCAATTTTTAGCTGTTTATATGTATGAAATATTATACTCAGTATGTATTTATTAACGTGAATGAGGCAGACCTTCAGCAGAATATGAAGTACCCTGAAATCTAGTTCTGTGTTTTGTTTCATTTAAATGATCCTTAAATTCAGAAAATTTGTTCGATTTAGCTGCTTTGTCCTGTATATTTAATATCGCAATCATTGGCGAATGTTTCTGTGCCTTGACAGAAGTTCTGAACCAGTGGCAGGCCTTCCAACACCTCCAGCTTCTAAAATTCTTCGCCTTACAGTGAGTAAACTGACATTAACAGTTCTAACTTGGGAAATAAAGACATGGCCATGGCTTCAGGCCGATGACAAAGAAAAAAAATTCTAACTTGTTGAAGTCGTTGCTTGATCTCCACGGCAGTAGAATATTGATTACGGAGTAAATCCGAAACAATAAAATGATCAACTATGTGAGATGTGACACTATGGCAACCTGGTCCATGCTTTCTTGACTAACCTCCACTATGTTTGTAGCGATGTAAGCTGTTCTGGGAATATTAAGCACCCTGGCCACATACTTCTGTCATTTTCCATCAATGCTATAATTCTAGCCAAATCCATACTTTGAAATCTAAAAATGGCACAACTTAACAAACCAAACCCCAGAAGAAGCTTTACTCCAATCTAAAAATCCAATTGTAAACACTGTTTTTTATTTACCTCTAATCCTTTAAAACTAAACCAACATTTTTATAAGAAAGTCAATAAAGGATTGACTAAGAGATGATTAAAAATATTAAGGGTGACTTTTTTTTTTTTTTTTGTCTTAGTGTATTTATCTACGTCTATATATATTTATACATTTGGAAAAAAATTAAATTATTGGCGTTCGTTGAGGGTTTCAAGAACATAGAAGCAAATAACAGTGTATAGCTTATAAATAATTTCAGCTTCAATTCATTGGAAACGTTGCCGACGTAAAAAGCCCGAAAGGTTGATAATTATTTAATTTTACTTTATACACCGCTTTTAAAAGAATTAAGTGTTTTAATGTAAATTAGAAGACAGGTGGAATTTTAAATTTAAAATCATTTTTCTTCTGGTTAGGGATAATACGTCATCAATATATTGTTAAACTGATAAATAACCCATGTGACAAAGAAAATGGCCACTAGTCCGCCATTTTCAGCCAAGTGAATGTCGCGTTGCTATTTTTCATTAGAAAACTTGTAAAATCAGTCAATTTGTTTTTAATTTTCTGATATCACTTAAGAAATTTGTCTCTTTGTCAAGTTTCACGTGCAAAATCAGCTATGTCTTCGGATACTGGAGGTGTTGCTGCTTTTTCGATTCAGGGTAGACTCTACAGGGAACGGGAACGTTTATCCTTCGGAGGTATGACCGAAGAGGAACGCCTTTTAAGAAAACAGTGGGTCGCTGATCAAGTTCTGTCCGAATGTGAACCCGTCGAGGTACCGGAGTTGATTCAAGCTAAGACAAACATATTCAAAAGAATCTACAGGAAACCGCTTGACGTCCTGGTGTACGACAGGTTGAAAAATAGAATGAATCCGTTTTCCGCTTTAATTGTGAGGAACATTATCGGTAAAAGTCTGATGTTAATTGGTTCCATTTACGCCACGACTTATTACTTCAAGTACAACCAAAACGATTGGACTAGAAAAGGGGGATTCAGAGTCCTCACGAACAGGCCTACGTGCTTACCCGGTGAGACGTGCTACAACAAAGTTAAATACGACCCTTCCCAAGAAGAATCATACGAGTTATCAAAAATATCGTGCGAAAAGGCGGTCTATGAACTATCTGTAAAACCCTTATCGAGTGAAAACGAACAGCTAACCGAGGAATCTAACGCGAAGGAACCCGGCGATGAAAAATACCAAGCGACTATCCTAGAAAATTCGAGCGATGAAAAAGATCAAGAGACCATCCCGGAAAATTTTATTTACCTTGAACAAGTTCTTGTCAATAAAGCCGATAACACAGAAAGCGATAAATCTGACTCAAACGTATATACCAGTTGCCCAACAGTTGACATAGATGAAGTTGTAGAACCTTCCCCTCCACCGAAGGAAAGAAAAGATAAAGGTCCGCTGTACCGCAGCTTGGGGTCTTATTATGCTTCAAGAGGATTTGAAAATTCGCCCATATAAGTAAAAATTTTGTATTAATTTAAATAACCAGTGTATCAGACACTTGTNTCATATATGTATATAAATAAAGTCAGTTTTTGTAAATTTATTCATTTATTTATTTCTTCTTCTTAAAAATTTTCTGCAAGTAAAACTTTTCCATGTCCACTTATGTTATCGGGTTATCGGCTTTACCTATGAATACATAGTTAAATTATTTTTTAGCGTTATGGACGAGTTTTATGGTATAGGTCTATCCTCGGACCACTTCAAACATAGTATATACTTCATTCCATTCAATTTTATCTCAACTAAAAACCTTAATTAATTGTAATAGTATATACTGTATTATACATGGCCGAGCATTATAAAATTATGTTGATCAGTGGGCGAGTTTTAGCTATTATTCACCTTTAAATTATGAACAGGTATGTATGAAAATAAGTAGAATGACATTTTTTGATAATATATTTTAAGATAATGGTATTTCAGATGCATCGATATAAACATATATTGAATCCTATAAACAAATATAAAGGTTAAAAAATATATTTCTAGATTTTATCCGATGAAGTATATCGATATTTATAAAAATATTCAGTACATAATTAATAAATAATTAGAATGATTTCAAAACAAACATTGGTATATTCACAAAAAGTTGGTTCTATGTTACTTGTTGATTAGGGAAAAGCTAAAATGTAAAAAGTTTTACCTCGTTTATTATGAATATAAAGATATCTGGTATATCGATAATAAAAATACAGGGTTTTATAAAAATTATCGATGTAATAGTTTCAGTAGTGATACTATCGGGTTGTAAAATAAGTTAGCGTTGATTTTTTTAATGTCAAATTCAATGAAAATTTCAGGAACTTGTAAACAAATTTTATTAACAATATATGAGCCATTTTGTTCCACTGCCTATTGCCATCTAACATGTAATTTTGCCTTCCCACTACTTATCAGGGTTTTTTAGCTGGAACTCTTCGATGTGCATTTCTGCAGTCCTCCGTGTGCAGTAAAGTTTTTCATATTAATAGAGTTTCGCTTTGCCCGGAATAAGTGAAAATCCATAGGGGCAATGTCACACGAATAGGGAGAATGGAAGGCCACATCCCGGGCCAGGTCGTTTACATTGCGTTTTGGGAGGAAATCGCAGGTTGAAATGCAAATTATTGGACATAAATTATTTTCAGTCTACATGTGAGGACACGTACATCGCTGTGACATATATAGCTGATCTGAGGTGAGTTGATACATTATTTTTCTTAGTATGAGATGTGTTAAGTGTCTCGTTTCGTGTGTCGGCTGTTTGTGACAAAATCATGAAT